TCCAGCAATAGCCTCTCTCTGCTTCCAACTTTGGTGTTAGTTACTTTTCTATTGTAATAAAACACCACAACCCCGGCAACTCATAGAAGGATGAGTTCATTGAGTTTACTGCTCTAGAGGGTTAGGAAAATCCAGGATGGTGGAATGGGAGCAAGACTAGAAAGCTGAGGGCTCACATCTTGACCCACAAGCACCAAGCAGAGTCTGAACTAAAAATGGCATGGTTTTTAAACTCTCAAAGCCTGCCATAGGGACATCAATTTGGTGTTTGATGACTGTTCTTTTTTAAAATTTTTACCTCCTTGTTCACTATGCTTTTCGTATTATTCTCTGATAAGCTTAGTTTATAATTATTTTATGATTTTATCATACTAAAGTAATTTGGTTATTCTTTTTTGATGTCTCAAATTATAGTCCCTTCATGACAGCAGGGCTAAGTATACATTTTAGAGTAATACATAATGAAACAATCTAGATCAAATATTGACAGAGAGATAAATGCTCAGAAGTATGAGTACAATGAATTAATGGATAAATTCATTAGTATAAAATAATATTTACTCAAACATATCTAATTGCTAGCAGTAAATAGGTAAATAATTCCTTAAATGAGAGAACATAGTCCATGAAGTCTAAAGACTGGAAATGTTTATTATTATAATAATTATTATTATTAAATTTTTACACAATAATTTTGATTATACTATTTCCCATCTCCAACTTCTCCCAGGTCTTCCCCAACTCATGTTCTCCTTTCCTCAACTCGTGTTCTCTTCCTCTCTCTCAAAATAAAACAAAATAATCAATAAATTAAACAAATATGACAATAAAATTCAAACAAGCTATCAACATGGACACCATTTTATATTGGCCAACTAGTCTTAGACTTGGAGTACAGTTGATATATTTGGTGCAACTCTGCTGAGAAGACAGTTTCCCTTTGCCAGCAGGTACCAATCTGAATAGCTTCTTGATTAGAGGTCAAACTTTGTCCCTACTTCCTCTTCTCTGTGATGGGATTTTATCTGTTAAGACTAGAGTGATCAGCCCAACTTGGGTTCCATCCCATGTGCAGGGAACAAACTGTGACACTATTACTGATGTGTTTATAGACAGGAGCTTATCATGGCTATCTTCTGAGAGGCTCGCTCTACCAGAACAGATAGAGATACAGCTAATCATTGAACTGAGCCCAGGAACCCCTATGGAAGAGTTGGGGGAAGGACTAAAGGAACTGAAGGAGATAGTAACACCATAGGAAGAACAACAGTATCAGCTAACCCAGAACCCTCAGAGCCCACAGAGACTAACCCACCAACCAAAGAGCATTAATGGTCTGGTCTGTGGCCCCTGCACATACATAGCAAAGGACTGCCTTGTCTGGCCTCGGTGGGAGAAGATATGCTTAATCCTGTAGAAACTTGATTCCCCAAGGAAGGGGGATGATGGCATGGGTGAAGTGGGGGTGAGTGAGTGTGTGATCACCCGCTCAGAAGCAAAGGGCAGGGGTGATAAGGTGAAGAACTCAGGGAGAGGGGACCAGGAAGGGGGGCAACATTTTGAATCTAAATAAATAAAATAATTTAATAATAATAATAATAAAGATGGAGCTCTTATCCTGGACCTGTCACTGGTTACAAAACTGGGTAACATTATAAAATCAGTTTACTCTATAAAAGCCTCAGTTTTCTCACCTATAAAATCGAGGCCACAATAGTCTCTACTCTATAAACAGACAGAAGAAATCAGAAGCAAAGTCCATAGTCATCAGTAGCAAAGAAAAAAGGCTCGTCACCATTATCATTTATTCCATTGGAACCATGGAAAGCGATGAAGACCTTCTAGCAAACACACTTCCATCAAGGATACAGACAACTAACCTAACAACTTAATGTATCTAAAATCTGTGACATAAGGTGTAAAAGGCAGTGGGGCTACTCAAATGGATGGCCATGGCAGCAAGTTCACGTGTTGTTCTCTCTGTTACCCTGAGCTTGTTTACCCTCTTTATACCCCAGGAAGACCCTCTGCCATTTTAATGCCTTGTAACAGTTCCTGTAAAATGTCAAGAAGTCAATCTTTCCTTCATTTGTTATGCTGGATTCTCTGTTGACTAATTCTGATAATTCTTTCCAATCACCACAGTATTTTGTGCACAAGCTCTACTCCATTCCCATTCTCTTCTTTCTGGGATTTCTTGTCTGTTTTCTATGAACTCTTGGCTTCTTTATCATATTTATTTTTAGTCTATTTATACTTTTCTCTGTAAATGATTAGAAATACTTATTTTTCTAAGTTTCTAATTTGGAATATAACACTAAAATCAAAAGCCTAAAATATTTTCAATTTTATCTCTTGCATAGCATTCTCTTCTTGATTTGTTTTAAGCCATCTCTGATTGTTTCAGTAGTTTTTTCTTTTCTGTTCTATGTAGTCTTCATATTTTTTGGTGATCATTGACTGAGTGAACAGCAAAGAATGAAGGTCCAGATGCATAGCATTGGCCTTTCTTCTTGGTGTGGTATTTTTCATTTTTATTGAATGTAACATGATCAATAATTTTTGAGTCAGGGCAGTTTATCTGTAAATATTTAAATTTAAGTATAGTTGGAAAACAGCGAAGACCATGAAGACTTTAAAATTTATTACTGAGTTGGATTTCACTATGGGACCAACATCCACATGATGGCTTCTAGTGTTCCTTGAGAATCCCTTTTAAACTTTTTTTTTCTTTTAAATAGCTGGTTGATATTTTGTTTGCAGTTAAATACTGGCAGCTTCTACTTTTACAAAGCTTGCACAAGCAGATCTGAATGAGGTCAGCTATTTGACATTGAGACATCCAACCCTCTGCTTTCTGTCCTGTTTCTAGCCCCAGACTGTCTCTCTCATAACCACTGATTTTAAGATCAAAGCCTCTTACATAGTCAAGCAGAATAATTGTCATTCATCTTTTCTCAGTCTCTCAATATGTAATGTGTTTGTGTCCTCCCTTACTGGGCAGGAACCAGCCCTGACAAAACCCTCCTGTATGATGCATTCCAGGAAAATATGAGAAGAAAACAAACTCTGCTGAGCTTCAGAGAAAGGAAAACTCTAAGTATCAGTCATAAGTTATCCTTGGTATATAGAGGAAGGCATGTGGTAGGAAAAAAACTGGATGTGGCAGTGTTAGAACATGTCTGGATGCTGTCTTTGTCAAATGGCATACAAATAAATATTCTCATTAATGTAATTCTCTAAAAGACATTTATGTTATATGAATGGACGTTCTGTTAACTACGTGTGCTTTGGTTGATTTGTTCTTGTAAAGTTCTCAAATCAAGACCAGGCTACAGAGGAACAAGGATGTAGCTCAGCGATAGAGCATGTGCCTAGCATGGCCAGAAACCTGGGTTCAGTTACAATGCTGAGAGAGGGTGGGAGAGGGAGGGAAGAGAGGGAGGGGCAGAGAAAGGAGAGAGAGAGAGAGAGAGAGAGAGAGAGAGAGAGAGAGAGAGAGAGAGAGAGAGAACAATAAAGATTAAAATGTAGGATGTGGGTATTCTGTCTTTGATCTATTATCCTATTGACTACCATGGTTGTTTTGGCAGATCTGATTGGCTAAGTAGATGTCCCCCTTCTTCCTTTATTATTTCATGTGTGTGATTCCCAAAGCTTCATCTTGTCAGAGAAGATGACCTTCTTCAAAGGATCAGGACCTGCTTTCAAGTCAAGGGAACATGGATTGTTGTGCTTTCTTGCTAGAATCTTCAAATAGGCTCTCAAGGGATGGATATGTGCTGCTTTATAAATTCTTCCTGGGACTCCTATTTAATTTGCAATCCTGAAGCCTAATCACATGATATATAAAATATAATCAATATAGAATGAGGAAACATAGATGAATTTTGTTGAAACACTTTCCCAAATGTCCAGCTTTACAACAGAGGAGTGGGAAGCATCATTATTAGGAAAAGTAAGCACAAAACTTTTAATGAGATCATTTCTGTGGCCATAGTGCACAGTGCACCCTCATGCCATCATTAGCCAAGTGGCTCATGCCAAACCTTTGTATTTTTTATTGCAGTTATGTGAAGAATGAGAACAATAAAATCAATTTTTGAAATTATTGCTAGAATTCCTCTGTTTACAGTGACTGAGTTCTGTCAAGTAGCTGACAGTAAATATCTTCATCCTCTTAAAATGCGAGATGCAAGAGAGATGTAGTGGCTTTCATAAACATAATAGCCAGCAAGTTTTGTGTATTATTGTGGGTTGTGGAATTCTTAGTGTTTTTGTCTGTTGTCTCAATTAAATCCTTACCTCAAGTCTGTGTGGTAAACATTATTATATTACAGTTGTGGGATATGAAGCTCTGAGAGGGTAATTTGTCCAAGATGGTTCTGTTAAAAAGTATAAATCTCAAGGTCTCCCAGCAAGTCTCCTTGAAAAAGAAGCTTGGCCATATAGCCTCTTATACCACTAAAGACCAAGGACAAGAGTCTGAGTCAGAGTTTAATATATGCTGAACTAAATTTTAGATCCGTTCAGTAAACAATTAATGACTCTGAGTTACCTTCGGTTTGGGCTAAGTTGCTGGCTTTATAAACACACTTCAACTCTGCAGCCATTGTGCTCTTGAACCTATAGTCCTCCTGAGTAAATGCTCTACCACTGAAGGTATCTTGTATAGGAGGGGCAGCTTGAAAACACACCAAGCATAGATGTGCAGGCCACTGCATACTGATAGACAAGCTGGAAATTCTCTACACATTTGGATGAGCAATATATGGTCTGGAGAGATGGCACAAACATTAAAGCCTAGGCTCACAACCAAAACATCAAGAAAGCATTCCCCCCTCCTCACTCCAAAACAAACAAAACCAAACCATGATGTGTGGGCAAGGGCATAAGTAATACAGAAAATCTTGGAGTCCAGTGGAAACACTCCATTACTTGAGTAATTAACTTCTCAGGGTCAGTCATTAACAGATTTTCTCATTCCATTCCTTGGACAGGTCCAGCTGTAAGATACAGCAAGTTCAACATGTCAGAGGCAAAGCCACCTCCCCTGCTGGGACAGCACACAAGGCATATCTTGAAGGAGGTTCTCAGATATGATGAGGGGGCTATTGGGGAGCTACTCTGCTCTGGTGTGATAGAGCAACATGAAACCAAGTGACAGAGGAGAATGTATCTGAAAACTCTGCCTGGCTGGCCCAGAAAGTGAGTGCTCTGCTCATGCCTCTCTCCAGTCTTGATCCCACTTCAAAGCATCGTGAGGAGAACTGCAGATTACCTTCCTGGAATCTCTGGGGTAACTTTAGAATTAAAGTCTAGTGCCCATTTAAAACTTACTGTTTTGACTTTTATCTCTAGAAAATAATTTAATTATTGATTTGTGGACTTTGATTAATTCTAATTTTCTCATCCAAGAGAAGCGATAACTGTTTGGTGATGAAACGTTCTCATCGAATTCTTCCACAATGTACACATGTATGGAAACATCAAATTATAAATTGTAGTTTTGATTTCTCAATTGAAAATAAAGGAAAACCAAAAAATATTTTTTTCTGGAAAAAGCCCTCTTTATTCTAATTGTCTTAATGCCTAAAATGTTTGCCTGTCCCACCCACACGAGCCTGAAAAAAAAAGAACTCTTGACATTTTCTACTCGTACATAAAGTTCTCATTTAAATCTTTGTTAGGAAGTAAAAGTAATAAGCAGAGTGACAGTCTCTGTGATTGATTTTAAACAGTGTAACTTAATTTCAAGCCCATGAAACCTTTGTTAGTCTGTAATTTAAACCATCGACTTTGCTGATGTCTGTAGTAAGACTGAGCTCCACTCTGCCCATAAGGAGTAAATATTTGCTTTGTGTTGTTTTCCCGAGTGATACTGTGCTGTGTGGTGAAATATCAGTTTCTACCTATTCAGTAAGGGCCCGAGCATTTGTGTACATAAAAAAGTATAGTGGTTCTTTTCTTGCTACCTTATTTGGAGATATAGCCAAATGCAACACACTTTAAATAAATGTGAGGTGATTGCTTACATGTGAAAGTGAAAAGAATACCAAATGGGGAAATGATAGGAAATATTTCTTTGTAACTTGAAGATTGTAGAAGATAGTATCAAGCTTTGTAGTTTGACTTGTCAGTGAGAAATCCAAGTGACCAAGGATACAAAAAGCTCCTTCAAAGATAAAAGTAAATAAGGATATGTATGTTAGAATGAACTACCACAAATGACCGCATCAGGTACCACGTGGTCAGTGTGATCTACTCATGGTCCACAGGCACACATACTAAAAAGTTATGCCATTATATGCTGGTAGTAATTGATAAACTGCAAACAGTCACCTTTCAAACTGATTCAGAACTAGTTTTCTTTTTATTTAGAATGGTGTGAATCACTTACCTATGTTGCAAGGCCAGATATGACTCTAGAATCAAGGATACCAAATAAAAAGTGTCTCTAGGACACTTTTCAGAGGAACCTATCCTAATTTTTGGGACCTGCTCCAGCCTCAGCTTTGCTGTTCATCATGTCGTACTCTTACAGACAAACTCCATTATTACTCCAGGAGTCAGAATTTTCTCATAATAGTTTGATGCCTTCTGCAGGTCCTTTGCCTCAGTTCCATATATACATATATGTTTATATGCATATAAATTATATAAATCATATAAATTATATATATTGTTAACTTATAAATTATAAATATTAACTCTTTATACATACATATACATACACACACACACACACACACACACACACATATATATTTCTTAACACCAACCCAGGCTTTTATAAAGAATATTTGAATGTATTGCCTGCAAGTATGCATGCATATAATGTGTGTACCTAATGTTTGCAGAGGTCAGAAGATAACATTGGATCCCTGGAAACTGGAGAATGATTGTAGGCTATCATGTGGTTTAGAAACTGAACTTAGGTCCTCTGCAAGATCAATAACTACTCTTAATCTTTAAACCATTGTTCCAGCCCCAAGCCAGACATTTAAAGAAAATGTCTTTATAATCATATGACTCATATGGAAATCAGAAAGAGGTTGGGTGACAGAATTGATAAAATCACATCTCTTAAAAGCCAGATGCATCATTTTCCCCCCACTGAAACATAAAATCTTAAATTGCAAATACTCCTTATTGAGCAATAATTTTACATATGTGAATACCCATATGTAGGAGGATTCTGTCATGCATAGGGCCAGAACATACCTCTTAAACTTTCAGGTCAATAAAAACTTAAGTCTTCAAATATGGTAGGGCCACCACTGGAGCATGACTATGTTTCCAGATTCCCACCTGCACAGCTCAGAATGATCCAGGAGAACTTTGGATTTCTGGTCACTCACCCAACATAAAACATTACTCCACTGAGGGAAAAAAAAAACCAGGCTGTGCTTCAAGTTCACACTGATTATCAATTCTGAAAGAAACATTGTACTTACTAAAATTTTTAGCAATATGCCCCAGATCAAATTATGCTTATAAACAAATGTGCTGTTTTAATTATCAGAGCTGGTTATCTTACACGATCCCCAAAATAACACACTACTAAGATACCATATGCTCAGGTTCAATTTGTGTCAAGGCCTGCCTTCTGGAAGGTTATATCTGTGGTTGGCCTCAAAACCTCCTTGAAAACTCTTGAGTTAATTGTTATGAAATTGAAAGCATGTCCATAAGCAAATAGACTTATTTTGTCCTGAATTTTTCTACCATAATTTTCTTGTTAAGATGATTTTTTTTTTCTGGTAAATAGCCTGAACTGCTGAATGTTCTTTTAGTAGAAATGAAAACTAACATGATGAATTTTGTATGAATACTGTAATTATTTCTTCATTCAGTCTTGTGTATGAGATAGCTAAGGGTATTAGAAATAAAATCACGATTGAAGGAAATGAAGGAGATATTATATTGGTATTATATTATATTGGCTGTTTGATATTGCAACCTTAGACCACTATTCTCAGATAAATTGCTCTGTGAAAGTTTTTTTTTTTTTTTTTTTTTTTTTTGCGAAGATCTCACAAGTTCTACTTTTAATTCTTCCAGAAATTTGTACCCATTCATATATCACTTCAATTTGAGATTACACTTTTGACTTGTATCTTACCTTTGGCAAGTTGCCTATTTTAAAATCTGTGTGGGCTGAGGATATAACTTGGTGCTGGAGCACTAGTATAGTTTATGTGAGGCTCCAGGCTTAATTCTCAGTTCTGCAAAAACAAATCCTTAAAGGCTACATAGATGCAAGTCTTGCTGATCATCCTCTTATTTGGCTTGAAGCTGCCTTCATCTTCAAAGCCACTCCTCTAAGCAATTGCTCTGAAGAATCTGAGAAGGAACAACAGAGCTTATGAGACTGTTAATACCTTTGGCATCTTGGCGCTGCTGACCCTTGATCCTCAGTGGGAAAGGAAGTAGTTGGGGAAAATATTCTCTACACTTCATCCTCCTATTTTGCTTACTAATTTTTGTAATTATTCCTCATGATATACTCCTGTTGTTGACTCATGAATGAAACACTCTCTGCTGCTACAGTCAACAATTATGATTGGTGGGCATTAGACTGTTCTGTCCAGTACTAGCCCTGGCCTTGGCCTCAGTTTGTTCCGATTCTTAAGTTTCAGGTCACAAGTAGTCACTTTAGTCAAATGGCCTCCAGGATGATGCTTTGCCTTCTTTACTTGGCATAACTGTCTGTCAGACAGGATGAAGGGATCCTCACAATCTTCCTACAAGATACAAACCACTCCTACACCTCACACCTCTGCTCTACCTCCCTGTCTTTTCCTTTGCAAACCAACTTGATGATGGTGACTGTCTGATAGTTCCTTTGACTCCCTACCACATAGCATTGGGCTTACTCAATAGTGGTAAATTCAACCTCAAACATGCAGCAGAGAGGTTGAGAGGAAAGAAAAAAAGTATAACTGCCTCAGATGAATGTTATTTTCTACCTCTTTACCTCCTGTGAACTCTAAAGAGAGAAATCAGATTTGAGAAGTGTTAGGAGATATTTGGTAACATTTGTAACACATTCATTCCAAAAATCTTGGATATATGTTTTTAGATTTTAAGAAGAAATTCCTGACTGTATGCAATAGATGTTTTATACTGTGAATGGTGGAGAAGCATAGTGCTTCTTCCTTGGAGAAGATTGAGAGAACAGATATCTTCTCTTTTAGGGAGACTTAACTACTTTTTATGTAAATAGAAGAGAGTGCTCTGGTCCTTATCTGAACTGGAGTGCCCTAAGCTGAGGATGCTTACAGTGACACCTGCACTGGTCTCATATTGTTTAACCTACAAGCCCAACTCTGGAAACAGCACGTGCTACCTTGAGAGCATTGGCTGAACTGTGTGATGGGAAAATCTGAGTCAACAGCAAACTCAAATGTCCTATTCTTAAGATCACACCAGAACTGGAAATATCCAGCCTAGAGCCCACATTTCCTCTCTCTCTTGAATCCCAAATATTTTGCATGATTCTCCAGCTTTTCTTTCTGCAGAACCAGGGGCCCAAAAGTGGGTCCAGCGCTGGGTGAGCTTCTGCCTTGGGAGGCAAACCAATTAGGTGAACTTGACAAACCACTGCAAGGTCACCGTGATCAATCCAAGTGTTTTATGCAACTACTCTCATACTGCTTGGGTGATGCAAGGTGAAATGAGTACTTTGGTGGGTCTCTGTGTGGGTGCATTCTGGGGGAAGGTTTATTAACTTGGTAAAAAAGAGCTCACAGATCTAGAATATTCCTTTCGATAGGGGAGGTTGTACCTTCAATTTTCCACAAAAAAATGGATGAAGATTTCTAAGACTTGTCCACATATTTAAAATATTTAAAATTATATATCTTAAATACGTGTATGACTTACCTGTCAGAACACATAATACATAAAATTCAGTAACTTTGGAAGGTTGTTTGGTGAGTTCAAAAACTGATATTAAGTTTGATACTACACAATCTTGATAACTGCATATGTTATATTCTTACATGTAAGGAAGGTACTGTTCTATGTACATTCTATGTAATTAAGACAGTTAAAATTCATAGAAGTAAATTACACATAGTGACTCCTGCGTGAGAAATGTCTGGGAATGCCTGGAGATTTTCAGTGAAGAGAAAATCCCATCACCTTGTGCGCTGTGGTATGGTATGTGCAGTGGGACTAGGTAGTCTTCTGCCATTCTTATCTGCAAGAATCACTTAAGTACTTCGGCTCTGTAGTTTTGAACGTCCTTGGAGATGTAACAGGCAAGACACATCATGGAAGCAAGCAGGAATCTACCACAGTCACTTTGACTTTTGCAAGTGTTCTAAAATAAAAGGATTCCCAAGAGCATCCAAGTCAGTAGATTATTGTGAATGCATCCTTCAGTGGTCTCTTCAGACAGGACTGCCCTCTAAAGAGGTGGAGGCATAATTTTATGTTTAAAATCCTACTCACTCAGAAGATATTTATCTGTTTGGTTTGTTTGAAATGTTACTATGGAAATGCACATGAAATGACAAATGGAGGACAACTCTCCCAAAG